TCCCCCCACCTCCACCCTGCCCTGCCCCCAATGGTGGATTGTCCAGTCTTTAGATAAACGTAGTGGCTTCTGAGAGCAGAGACACTGTGGTCAGCAGTGGCCTGGCAGCTGTAATCCTAGGGTTATTGTCAGCCTTGCTGAAGACACGGACAGTCTGCTTCATCATTAATGAAGGGCTACAGTCCACCCTTCAGTACACCAAGAAAGTTCAGTTTGCTTAATTTTTAAAATTTTAAGGAGGATTTCCATGGTTTATGAAAAATTCTTCCCTGTATTCTTAGTCCATCTCCTTTCCCTCAGAGTAAAATTTTACACATTATTTGAGAAAATGCAGTGGGTATTGTTGATGTGAATAATCCATATGGTACTTTCAATAATAATTTCACCCATAATGATTTTTATAAAATTAGGTACAATTTAGATTTTAGTCATTGTATCTCTTGATGGCATGATATAGGAATATTAAAGTTAAGTTTTTCTTATATTTTTAATGTTTTGGCTTTTCAGTCTAATAGGAAGAAAAATAAATTATTTTATTGTTTCAACATTTATAGTGTTACAAAACCTTAAATATGTCAGGAGGTGGGGCTTTCATCATTAAAATTTTATGTAAATATGAATACACACAAGTGTAATGTTTGTATTATCCTTTTCCAAGTTACTTATTCTATTGGGTTCATCAATGCTAAAACATTGGTAAGTGTGGAAAGATAAAAATTTGGGGGATGGTAGAACATTTTTGAGAATTTAAAAATAATTGTTAAATATAATTAGCTAGGTATGAAACTCCACCTTTTTGAAACATATTATAAATGGTTATTGAAGCAATTCTTAAAATGTCTATCTTGAATATTTAAAATATTTTAGTTACTATGTTTCCTTAAATGTTAAAGTGAATATAGAATGTTTTTTTAGTAATTTTCTTTTATTTTAGAACAAAATATCAGGCTTATGTGGAAACTTTGACAAATGTACTTCAAATGACATGACCACATCTAATAACATAGAAGTGAGAAATGCCCAGGTGTTTGGAGATAGCTGGGCATTAGGACAGGTAAGTTGAATATATATCTTAGAACTAAATAATTTTATTCTTATGGGAACATTTCTCTAGGTAATACTATTTTTATGTAATATTCGTATAGTAACTCACATTGGACAAAGCTTTCACATTTGTCTTTTCATATAATTCTTGTGACTACCATGCAATGTAACAGGCATTGTCTTCATGTTATAACTGGAGAAACTGAGGCTGAAGGAGGTTAAATTATTTGTGTATTAGACAAATATTATGAAAGATTATATTAGGAAGGGTGAGTCTGGAGAATTCAAGAAAGTAGTCTTCTGTCTTCGTGGCTTATTGGATAGATGAGGGTACTCTTCCCCGAGGCAGGACAGAGTGGAGAGTGGGTGGTAGGGGACGGTGAGCACAGGACAATGGTGCAGAGATAAGTAGGTTGGGATATGGTGAGAGGGAAGTGACAGAGATATTTTTGTGAAGATGCCCAGTTTTTAAATTCAGTAAAGAGATCCGGGCTGGAAATAGATTTGGCAGTTACAAGTGTATTCAGGGTGTTGAAGCCATGAGAAGTGAATAGAAGGTGGAAAAGAGGAGTTGGAAGGTCTAGGTTTTCAAAGAAGGAAGGGTGAAGGAGAATGGGGAGTAGCAGCCAATGAGGAAACTCCCCAGAAAATGGTGCCACCAAAATCAAATGAGGAGAGACATTTAAAAAGGGCAAAGTAATAAACAGAATCAAAGGTAGCAAAGAAGGTCAAGTGAGACGAAGACTGAGAAACTGCCTTTATATTTAGCAATGAAGAGACTATTGATGACCTTGCCCAGGGCGGTGTCAGGGATGTAGATTAGAAGAGGCTGAGACCACATTGTTGAGTATATGGGCAGTGAGCCTGCTGACACGAGTATGTACAACTCCTCAGAGGATGGCATGCGACAGAAATGAAAGAGGTGAAAATTAAAGGGAAGAGAATCCTTTGCTCATGTAATGATCTTAATCATTTAAATGCTGCATTTAAGACAATTGGAAAATTATTTACCTGTACTGTCTCTAATAGTCCTATGATTTTATTTTATTTTTAATTTTATTTTATTGTTTAAAGTATTACAGATAGTAGTACGTATGTCTCCTTTCTTTTTCTTTCCCAATTGACCTTCCCCCGGCCTACCCTACCCCATAGCACATGCCCTCACCCCACCCCGCCAGTGTCTTGTGTCCATTGTTTATGCTTATAGGCATGCATACAAGTCCTTCGGTTGATCTCTTACCTCCCCCGCCTCACCCAAACACTCCTATGATTTTAATAGTATGTTTGGTTGTTTTCAAAAATAACGCATGCTATGAACATTGAGCTGGCTGAGCACTGTGCTTTAGGTACAGCCTGTCTGGCAGAATGAGGATATATTAGCTGTGTTTGTCATGGATGCAGTAAGCATTGGTTACTCTGGTTTCTGCTTCACAGATCACCCCTAAAAACTTCCTTTTCTTCCTTAACATTTTCCGCAGTGTGAAAACGCACATGAATTATTTAAACCCTGTGAGGCACATCAGAACAAATTTCCTTATGCCAAGAAAGAATGCTCCATTTTGTACAGCGATGTTTTTGCTCCTTGTCGCAATGTGGTAAATGAATACTTTACTAATCTTCACATTTGAATGAGTATTGTTGCATTTATAACACTGAGACAAAAAGTTTAGCTACCCATGGTTAGGAAGACAAATTTGGTAGTTTGTTTTTTCTGTAAAAGTGATGCATTTAGTTGATTTACTCTCTCCCCACACCATCTTATTTAACAGCATGCATTTGCAAGAATCTCTACTTGTTTATGAAGCATTTCTTTGCATACATCATCAAAGCCATAAAAGATTGATCAAAGCTGCATTTGTTTTTCTTCAGAGAATATTGCAAATAGGCATGCTCTTCCTCAACCCCTACTATAGTTTAAAAGTATTTCTAGTAGCACATTTAAAATGGTTTTAGAAGTGTATCACAAGATGGAATGTAACTTATTTAGAAATGTAATTGCTTAAGATATCCATAAAAGTCAAGTAAAAGTACCCTGGGTAACAGAACTTTTTAAATGCCATGTGCATATGTTGAAATTGTATTGGTATGTTAATCCCATTACATGTTTTGCTAGTTCTTTGATCTTACATTTGCCTAATCAATTTCTTTCTCCTGTGAGCACTATAGAGGTTTGAGATATTGAGGACTCTCTAGGTGCCAGTGATAAGCTGATAATATCAAATTTTATAAATCAACTAGTTAGTTTTTCCTTAGAATTTTCCTCAATTATAGTTAGTAGCTACTGAAATTGATTGTTTTTTACCTCATTTTTCAGATTGATGTTACTTCTTTTGCCAAAAATTGCCATGAAGACACTTGTAACTGTAATCTCGGTGGGGACTGTGAATGCTTATGCACAAGCGTAGCAGCGTATGCATATAAGTGTTGTCAGGAAGGGGTATCGGTCCACTGGAGATCCTCTACTGTTTGTGGTGAGTATCCCACTTAGAACATCATCATTCGGTGGGAACATCATAAGGAGATCATATTAATTGTCTTCTCATAGAACTAATACCATAGAACTCATGGAAATAGAATTGCTTTAAGATGACTAAATTGTATATTCCTTTGAGAATGCAGATAGATTTTAGTATAGCTAAAGCAATTACAAACAGAAACATTTGAGATAATGTTTTCTGTTCTGTGTTTGACTGTTGTCACTTCAACATGTGAACTATAATTTATTTATATGCCATCCTCAGGTAAGGTGTTTATTCCTCTATTCCTCTGATGGCTATGAAGTTTCTCTGTTCTGATTATAAGAAACATATTTCTTAAAACATCATTTTGAATTGCTTTTAAATTTGACTCTAAACTTATTATGTACTTGTGTAGATGGTTAGTCTGCTGAAGACTTTATATAATGATGTCACTTCAGTGTTCTTTTGCTTGGTCATTGATAAACACATGGCAATATCTTGCACACATTTAGGTAAGTGGTCAGATTCCTATGTAGTTTAATATTTCTTCTTTTTTTTCTTTTAGCACATGATTGTGACTATTTCAATGAAGGTATGTGACAGTTAAAGAATATCACTATAGTATTGTATTAAATATATCTTCAGATTAAAAGTTTTTGGACAACTTTGCTGGAACAAAGTATGAGTAGTTCATAATTTGGTTTGTAATTCAATAAAAGCCTTTGCCTTCTGAAATGTATCTAAATTTCTAAGTATTTGTGTTAAAATTTATTCCCTGGAAAATAAAAAGAGGGTATTACCATCTTCTCAGCACATAGGAGGCCCTCAATAGTTTTTGAATGGTATGACTAAGTGAATGATTGAACTTAGCTAATTTTTTTGGTAAAATGAAGGAGAGACATAGACCAAATGCATACCTTTTACCATTAGGTATAAAAATGAACATTATGCAAACTTTTATTATGTTGTAGAAAAGAGAAACAAATTATAGATGTAATAATAATAATAATAGAAGGAATTTATATAGTCATAAGTTAGGGCACAAATAATTATTTAAATATTATAAGAATGAGAACATATTAATTTAATAATAATAATGAAAATCTCCTAGCTCCAAAAAGCATCCACATTTGCAGTAAGAAGTCTAGCAGATGGTGCTGGCTGTTACTAAGTTATAGAAGCTCTGAGACAAAATTATATTCTCAGTGAAAGCACCAGAGGTTGGCAGATTGGAGCCTGCTTTTTGTCAAACCTGTTTAATGAGGAAGGCGCAGCCACTTAACACTAATTTCAGAAAAGTACAATGATCCAGGAGGTGTCTATTTTGTCAGTGACTGGACAAAATATGAACCCATGGTGGAAAGAATAGAGTAATAGTTGTAGGAAACACTAAGCCACTCAAAAACAACCACAACCAAGCAACCAATCAAAGGCATATTTGGTGCTTTATTGAGCCAGAGAGAAGTTGTCAACTACAATACAAAGGAACAGAAAATTTTAGAGAAATAGAGATGATAAATTAAAAAGAAAATAAATATTTTAGTGTTTGGTTGTTTACATACAGTTATGGAAGTTTGATAGAGGAAACAATCAAACATTAAAAATATTCTGTGATAGTTAAAAAAAAAAATATTTCCTGTTCAGGATTTAAAACACACCCATACTCCACATCAATCCTTTGGAATTCATGTTTAAAATGAGACTGATTGCCTAATATTTATAACAGTAATAATAACAATAGTTTTTATTGTATTAGCTACTTTATAATTTAAGCTTCTAAATATGCTTGTACTATATACATTGTTATTAACACTTTGTAGAGGAGGTATTTGAAGAACAGAAGGGTAAATAATTTGGCCAAAGTCACTTAGCCAAAATGCGGTAAACTGGGATTTGTAAGCAATCTGAGTTCAGAACCAAGGAGCTGGACCTCCATGCTACACTGCCTAGTGTCTGGTTAACACATCCCAGTCTAAGAATGATCACCACACGTTGTTATCATACACTCTGCACAATGTACACAGATACCGATTAAAGAAAACACTCCACAGACAACAGTATGATGGTTACCAGAGGGAAGAGGGTGGGGGTAGTAGGGGGCTATATACATATATATATATATGGTGTTAGAAGATGATTTGACTTTGGGTGGTGGGCACACAATGCAATATGAAGATCATGTATCATAGAAATGTACACCTGAAACCTATATAATCTTATTAACCAGTGTCACCCCAATAAAAAGGAAAAAAAAGACAAAAGAAAACACTCCAATAACTTCTTCACTTAAGCATTCCTGCCTCACACAGTTCTGCTGTGAGAGTCTCCACCTGTGCCTTGTACTTTCTCATGTTCCTTCTGGAGCCCTTGGATCCAGAAGCAGAATTTTCTGAGAATTGACTTTCAGCCTCTTCTTACTTCGGACATTTTCCTTTCTGTCAACAAGTCTGTGCACATCTACTGATGGTTCTTTCCTCTAATGTGTTACACATTCTTCAAACCCATTCTTTTAGTTTCATTTTTAATAATATTGGTCATATTCAGAGGGTGAACATGAGGCATTTGGCTTTCATGGGACACTGATGGACTCAATGAAGTGACAGGGGAGTCTATTCTCTATGATTAAAGTAACAGGGAAAAGAATCAATCTGCATCGGAGAGTAAGAGTTTGTGAAAATAATGCAATAGAATGGATGCTTGACGGGAATATAATATTGTTGATAGTAGTACAGAAAAATAATTTAAAATGATTATTCTTAATTTTTTTCATTCCAAATGATTTCAGAGCTATTGTAAATTTGCCTACTCTTCTTTGGGTATTCATAGCTGACATACTTCTCTATTTACTTATCGCACCATGGACACTATCTTATTAAAATTCTTAATTATTATTTAAGACATGCAGAGATAAATAATTGTGGTTCTGTTACAGGAAAATTTTTTTTTTTTAATTAAATCTTTATTGTTCAGGTTACATTTGTTGTTCTTTTTTTCCCCCCCATAACTCCCCTCCTCCCAGTTCCCGCCCCACCCTCCGCCCTCACTCCCCACCCACTGTCCTCATCCATAGGTGCACGATTTTTGTCCAGTTTCTTCCCGCATCTCCCATTCCCCTTTCCCCCCCAAGAATAGTCAGTCCATTCCCTTTCTATGTCCCTGATTCATTATAATCACCAGTTCATTCTGTACATCAGATTATTTATTCACTTGGTTCTTAGATTCACTTGTTGATAGATGCATGTTTGTTGTTCACAATTTGTATCTTTACCTTTTTCTTCTTCCTCTTCTTAAAGGATACCTTTCAGCATTTCGTATAATACTGGTTTAGTGGTGATGAACTCCTTTAGCTTTTCCTTATCTGTGAAGCTCTTTATCTGACCTTCAATTCTGAATGATAGCTTTGCTGGATAAAGTATTCTTGGTTGTAGGTTCTTGGTATTCAGCACTTTGAATATTTCTTGCCATTCCCTTCTGGCCTGCAAAGTTTCTGTTGAGAAATCAGCTGACAGTCGTATGGGTATTCCCTTGTAGGTAATTGAGTCTCTTTCTCTTGCTGCTTTTAAGATTCTCTCTTTGTCTTTTGCTCTTGGCATTTTAATTATGATGTGTCTTGGTGTGGTCCTCTTTGGATTCCTTTTGTTTGGGGTTCTCTGCGCTTCTTGGACCTGTAAGTCCATTTCTTTCACCAGGTGGGGGAAGTTTTCTGCCATTATTTCTTCAAATAGGTTTTCAATATCTTGCTGTCTCTCATCTTCTGGCACCCCTATTATTCTGATGTTGGTACGCTTGAAGCTGTCCCAGAGGCTCCTTACACTATCTTCGTATTTTCGGATTCTTTTTTCATTTTGCTTTTCCGGTTGGGTGTTTTTTGCTTCTTCGCATTTCAAATCTTTGGCTTGATTCTTGCGCTCCTCTGGTCTGCTATTGGGTGTAATATTCTTTATTTCCGACCGTGTATGCTTAATTTCTAGTTGTTTCTTTATCATAGCATCGAGGGTCTCATTAGTTTTCGTGAGGCTCTCCAGAAGTTTATTGCAAGCCCTCAAAATTGCGTTTTTTAGCTCTATATCCTCCATTTCTGTCATGTTTTTTTGTCTCCGCATTTTTTATGCTTTCTTGGTGCACCCCCTAGTGGTCTTTGTGCGCAGTCTTGTTCTAGTTGAGCCTTGATTGTTGTAGTTAATACTAGAGGGATTTGACCACCAGGCCGACTGGCTGTGTGAATCAGCTGTGTCTGCCGCGGAAAACTTCTGTCCTCTGGGGAGGTGCTAATCTAGCCTTTGCCTGAGGCGATCTGGCAAATGGCTCTGCGCAGGGCTTGGGCGGGGCGGGCTCAACAGGGCGGGCGGGCGGAGGGAGCGGTTATGGCCCCTCTCAGTCCCGTTCCCAGAGGCTCTGCTTCTCAGAACCCCCGGAACCGCTGCAAACCTCGGAGGGAAAGCTGCCTTCCAACTGATGCCAGACACTCCCGCTTCTCCCGTTTGGGTCCGAGTCCCCAGCGATTCGCCCGTATCTGGAGCTCAGAGTCTGAGACTCCCCCCTGACCGAAAACGACAACCGCGCTCTCAGCCACCAGCCCGCTTTGCGCGCGCACCTCCGCACCTGAGTTTTTTCCACACTGCGCCTCCTCTGAGCCTCGGTGTGCTGTTATTTTTCCTTCTAGTTGAAGAGTCTCTCCTCAGCCAGCCTTCCTGTGGTTCTGGGTGATGTCCGTTCCGTCTTTTAGTTGTATTTTTGAAGTGGTTGTTTGCGGCAGCAGTCTGCGGTGTTTACCTATGCCGCCATCTTGGTCTCTCCAGGAAAATTTTTTTAAAAAGCAGATGAATTAAAAGGTTACAGCTGAGATTATTTCAATAATCTTTAACACAAAGACTGTATATACTATCTTCATGTTAATTTTATGGCATTTACTAAAATATAAATATTTTATTGTTATTGCCATAAATGAGCAAGGACTTCACAACTCCGCTAAAAAACTGTTGTACACACTTTATGTTCAGTGTTTTCTTGATAGGATATGCTTAATACTATGTTTAAAAAATCACTGCAGGAAATGATTGCTTTTGGTAGGTGGTGAAATTATTCTTCTTCCTGCAGAAAATTAATGATGAAGTCAATGACTTGTGTCTCTCAATTGTTGGTGAAATGCATGAAATCAATCCAGACACAAGATATCAATCAACTGAGAGTCAACTCAGGAGCGTTTGATTTTTATACAAAAGGATTTCTCAGGTGGCAGTTATCTCTTCAAGACTGCTGTAGCAAGGGACTTGTGCAGTAGGGCAGAGATTTTGTTCATTTGTCTATTTCCTTTTTCCTATTCATTTTAAAAAATATATATATATATATTTTATTGATTTCAGAGAGGAAGGGAGAGAGGAAGAAAGAGATAGAAACATCAATGATGAGAGAGAATCATCCATCAGCTGCCTCCTGCACACCCCCTACTGGGGATCGAGCTTGCAACCTGGGCATGTGCCCTGATGGGGAATTGAACCTTGACCTTCTGGTTCATGGGTCCATGCTCAAACATTGAGGCATACCGGCTGGGCCTTTTCCCTATTCTTATGTTGAATATCCATGAGGGTCTTCAAACCCTTAAGTTGTAGTTGTATATGTCTTCTTCATTTTGAATTGTATCTCATTATAATATACATATTTATCTACTCATTTGTACATTATTTACATAGAGGGGTGGGCAAAAGTAGGTTTGTAGTTGTGAGTTCTTGAAACACAGAATTTGTTCTTGTATTATCTATCATCTATCTATCTATCTATCTATCTATCTATCTATCTATCATCTATCATCTTTTATTATTGGGAACCTACTTTTACCTGCCCCTGTATTTATACAAATTGACATATTTATAAATTGAAGGATATCACATCTTGGAAGTTTATGTTGTTCTCGTCTTTCCTAGAAAACAATTCAGTAGGTGGTGCAGACTAAAGATTTAGTTTTCTTTGGTTTTTATTGACTTGGGCTCATAGAGAAACACTGTACATTGTAACAGCAGTGGGGTGTGCACTGCTCAGAAATTCTCCACTGCCCCTGCTCAGCTCTGTCTTGGTGTGGGGGCAAAGTTCTTTCAAGTCTCCTCTCCGCCCAACGTGTCAATTCCCTTAGAAAGCTCTTTTCCTCATGGCTTATAAGTGTCCCCAGCAGTTCAAAGGCAAGGTGTCCCAGCTGATGAGTCAGTGGAGGGGACAACCCTTGAAGATAACTTATTCTATGAGACCCTGCCTCTTCTCCTGGTCCTAATGGTGAAAATTTTGGTTCTTGCTCTCCTTTCTACTTGAAAGATTTTGACCCTCTAATCCAATGATTTTCTTTTCTTCTCTCAGGTCTGATCTTCATTCTGAAAGGGAAACAACCTTATCCTTGGATTTCTTTAAATATTTTCTTCCCTCCATCTTAACAGTAGGCTGGGAAAGGAAAATTGTCCTTGAGATTAAAAATTAGAGAATAGAATGAAGGTGAAATGTGATGAGAGTAACCAGATTAATCTTTTTTGATACCACATGCTACATATATATTAGCATTTTACATAACTTATAACATAAAATACACATATGTCTGTAAAAGGTATGCTGCTGATAATTTTTAACTTAATTTTGATGATTCAGAATAAACTTCACATAGGATTGGGTTGAAGTCAATTTGATCTTATTATCATAAAATCTAACTCATTTATATTTTTAAATATTAGCAAACTTTTTTTTTTTTTTTTTTTTTAAATATATTTTATTGATTTTTTACAGAGAGGAAGGGAGAGAGATAGAGAGTTAGAAACATCGATCAGCTGCCTCCTGCACATCTCCCACTGGGGATGTGCCCGCAACCCAGGTACATGCCCCTGACCGGAATCGAACCTGGGACCCTTCAGTCCGCAGGCCGACGCTCTATCCACTGAGCCAAACCGGTTTCGGCTAAATATTAGCAAACTTATTTACAATATATATTCTTCTGTTTATAAGATTAAATTTGCGGAAAAATTTTTTGGATTGAGCTTCAGGTTTGGTTCTATACAAACTATAGCAAATATTTTCTATTTTATATGGAACTATTTAAGTGTATGGAAAATGATAGCATTAAATAAAAAGATCTTTGATTTCTCTGTTGAGCTTCATCTTCATTTTTTTAAAAATTTATCTTTATTGTTGAAAGTATTAGATGTCCCCCTTTTCTCTTTCCATTGACCCCCTCTACACAACTCCCTCCCCCCAAGGCCTACTGCCCTATTGTCTGTGTCCATGGGTTATGCATATATACAGATAAGTTCTTTGGTTAATCTCTCTACCACCGTCCTTGAGATTTGTCAATCTGTTCTATGCTTCCATGTCTCTGGATCTATTTTCTTCATTATTTTCTTTTTTATAGATATGCCTTACTGGTGAAATTCAATAATTCCTAGAACAGCAAAATATTGTATATCACATCTGTGAATTCCGTTATCATGCAATGTAACCTATTAGGGAGAGATTATTTTTAGAAGACTATCAGAATACCTGGCTATTGATGTATAAATAAATTTCTGCTTATTGAGAGTAGATTAGAATCTTGGAATATTAGAGTGGAAGGTTAACTAGACAAAGTTCTTCACATAAGTGGGAAAATTTGAGGTGCAGAAATATATATATCCATGTGTATATATATTCTAAATTACATAACTATGTATATATATATTCCAAATAATTATAGTACATATTTTTGTAAAGAGTTCAGCTATTTTATTAGTGACTAATGTTTAAGTGTGCAGTAAGTTTTGGAGTAGCTTTTGTTATTAAAATTTATCCCATTGAAATGATAGCTTAAAATGTAAAAATTCTATGCCAATTTATACTTCTCTTACTTGTATTTAAATAGGGCTTGGAGAAGGTCCATATATGCTGGCAAGTTATGGGCAGAGTGGCCTTGTTTTGGGGGCCAATATAACCAGCAGAAGCATTTTCCCTTTGTCAAGAATTGGAACTCAAGGTGATTTATTTTTTATTTTTATGATCACTCCAGGTCTTTTCAAAGAGAAGGCATCATGTAAGTATAATTTCCAATTGAAAATATGATTTTTGTTTTCTATTTACATTTTTTCAATTATTTATTCACTAAATATTAATTTGGGATCTAATATGTTTATGGCATTTTTTCTAGGTGTCCCAGAGAATATAAAATAAGATGCTGGTACATAAACCATCTACCTCTTTTGTATATAAAATAATTTCTTTTGTTTATCTGTTGGCATATATATGTTATAATTACAATTGTTTGAGTTTTTTGTGTCCTAAATAAAGCACAGCTTAAATTTTTATAGTATTAATCACTGAACTTAATTTGAAAATTTTTAAAAACAGTCCACTCATAACTAACATCTGAAATATTTTAATGTTAAAGGAAAAGAAAAAAATGTGATTTGATATCAAAGTTGTTAAATAGTAAGAACATAAATCAGAGCGGAGAGAGTCATTGGGACCATGTGTTATCCTCATGTGCCCTTGTGTGTCTTGGTGCTGCCCCCACATTTACTGATCCACACTGGGTGTATCTGCTGGAACCTGTCTGGTAGTTATTGTCCTCTTCTGATCTGTGAGGCCCAGGCTACATTGTTACTATACCAGACATGCATCATGTATTTATAAGCTTAGGAAATGTTTATTGAATGAATAAATCCAACTTAAATTTCACCTATCCTGAGAAATCTCCTCATTCTCCAATTAGAATAAATTGCCTTTTTCTTATAAAAAGAGCTCCTTAGTTTTTTTAAATCTTTGAAAACACCTAAGTTCTAATGTATATATTTTTCTCTTAAAAAGATTTCTTTTATTATTATTTGCATCTTTCAGGCTCAACAAAGGGACTTGAAAGTTTTAGGACACAACAAAAGTCTTTGGAAAGATATATTGACTTTTAGAGAGAGTTTTGAATTGTATAATTTACAATAACATGTTTTTAATAGAAAAATCCTAATGGGTTTAAATTAAGACCTCTTATCAAATATATAATTTGCAAATATCTTCTCCCATTCAGTAAGTTGCCTAAAAATATTAAGGTCTAAAAATTAAACCTAAAATCTTAATTTAAAAGCATGTTTATATTATGGGTTTTGCAAATATAAGGGAAACTTTTAAAGTCTATATAAAAAAGGATTATACTTCTCAAATGCTTTGTAGTTGTTCATTAGCAATTTAATCATCTACTGGGAATAGACCATAATGTTGATCTAATTTTTTCTTAATGCAGTCATATAACTTGAAAGAACATTTGTTCATTAAGAACCCAGTGATATTGAAACACAATGACATGCCTAAATTGATCTGTTTCTCTATTCTCTTATTCTTTTTTATTAGTCAATGAAGCCATTTATAGATTTCATGCATTTGAAAATGTTAAAGTATACAAGTACAAATATGTGTCCAATTAATCATTTAATTACTTGTATGATATTTTACATTCTGGGGTCCAAAATTGATATATCTCCCCCCTCCCCAAGATATGATAAATTATTTAAAAAGTAGGACTCATCAAATACTCATAAAAGTTGTCACTGTTATTCAGTGCATTAAAATACTATTTTTTTTCTTAAGATATCTTAGAACTCATTTCTGAAATATTTAAGAATGGCATTAATAATGCAGGGCAATTTTGCAGTTTTGTTTTCATCAACTTTATAAGTACGTTTTATAATGCCAGTGTTGATAATCTGCTTTCTCCAGAGAACCCGGGGCTTGTCACACACACTGCTCTATGTCTTTCAGCACCAGCACTTGTGTCCTTGGAATCTGCTGAAAGGCCAAACTACTTTCTCTATGTCCACAACAATGACACTCTTAGTTTGAAACTGTGGCAGGTGAATTCAGCGTTTCATCGAAGAGCCACATTTTTCCACCACCAGGGCCTGTGGATTCCTGGTTACAGTGCATTTGAGTTATACAGCAAGAAAGGCTTTTTCATCACACTCACGGATTTTACTGTCAAAGCATCAAAATACGATGATTCGGAAGAATTTAAACATGCAAGTAGCTTCAGCATAGAAGGTGTGTTACCTGAGGTCTTCAAAGGGAGAATAAATAGATAATTTACATAATGGCAGGTTTTAATTTTAAATCATTCTTAATGAAGTATAAGTATTTGGAAATAATAATACCTACTTCATAGGGTTATTGTATAGCATAAGTTAATTGGTAAATTGCCTACAACAGCCTTGAATAATTTATTTTTAGTTATTGACCCAATTATTATTTTCAATGCTGTCTGGGCTTTGGAAATAGAGCTCACCCGTGTCTCACGGATGTCTAGCGTTTGTATCTACTTTTTGTTTCCTAGAAGACAACTTCTCAATAACCTGATTCTTAACAATAAAGACAACATGTTTATCTCTGTCCTTTGAGTACTGGGGTGTCTGGTTCCACTGACCTCTGGAAGACTTCCCTGGTTCCGAGGAAACCTGATCTTATTTCTAGAGATCCTTAGAGAGCCATAGCTATTGCGTTTTCTGAGTTTCAGAGAGCAATCCTCACTGCCTCATTCAATGTTTAAATCTCATGCTTTATTTTCAAAACCTAGGAGCTAGCTATCTGTCTTGGTTCTCCCACACACGCCCTTTCAGTGTAACGTACCCTTGTCAGTATGAGAAAAGTAGTCATTGGCCTTTTCTGTTGTGGATAAATTTCTGTATACCTGGATAGTCTTTGAATTTTAGATAATTCAAATTGAGCTTCAAGAAAGGTTTCTGTATTCATGAGAAAAAGAACCACAGATATGCCTATGCAACATTCAATAGGGAGGATGTGATATTTTTTACATGAATTTACTTAAAAGTCAAAATTTTACAAACCTATATATCCCCTCCAATCTAGAAATATGCTTCCTTAGAACTAGACCCAGCAGTTCCACCTGATCTGTGGACTATAGCCAATGGCGTCATCAAAATCTCAGAAATGGATCTTTGTGGGCTTCCTAAACATAAGAAACACTAGGGGTCTACTCTCATCTTGGAACCAATCCTCTCCCAGACCCACAATCTCAGTAATGCAGGTCTAGCAGTCACGCTAAACTTTATATGCATAGATGCCTTCCAAAAAGTATTATTTTCCTTCCCATTCCATGGAATTGAGTTCTGTATCCAGAGTCCAAGAAACATAATCTGTTACCTGAACTCTCTCTCTTATGGAGCTCTGCAGAGATAATTTTGGACTGCTGCAGAAGGAGAGGTCTATGAAGGGAGAGTATTAGCAGAATTTACAGAAGAAAAATATTTAATCAAAGGAGGTTTTATAACTGTAAGCATGTATTATTATTTTTTTTTATTTTTTTGTCAGATAATGCTTATCATGTACAAGGTACTGTGCTAAGTTCCAGGAGAAGAATACACATGGAGTGTTCTCCCTAGGTTTGATGTCAGGTGACCAGTTTTTGGTCTTGCCATTTTTAACTGTTTGAACTTGGCAAGTTACTTGGCTCCTCTGTGCCCCAACTTCTCATTAATACAATGGAAATAATACCTATTCAACACGGTTGTTATAAGGATAAAATATAATGATAGAAAAATTACTTGGTAAAAAATAAAATTCTGAACAAGTGTTTAATACTATTATGAAATGTAAATCAATGGGAATCCACTAAACATAAAGGAAGAATATTAAAAAATTTCCTAGGCCTCTTCCAACATTGCTTTTTATTTTATTTATTTTTAAAATATATTTTATTGATTTTTTACAGAGAGGAAGGGAGAGAGATAGAGAGTTAGAAACATCGGTGAGAGAGAAACATCGACCAGCTGCCTCCTGCACACCTCCTACTGGGGATGTGCCCGCAACCCAGGTACATGCCCTTGACCGGAATCGAACCTGGGACCTTTCAGTCCGCAGGCCGAAGCTCTATCCACTGAGCCAAACCGGTTTCGGCCCAACATTGCTTTTTAAAATATTTGAAAGACAGACTAACATTTAGATATTCAACCTGAGTATGAGAAGCTTTAACCAATTGCAATGCTTTACCCTAGCCCTGCCTTTTCCACAGCGTTAGTGGTCAAAGAGGGAGAGGGGGATCAATCCCTGGAAAAATTACTATCACAAATCATTATTTTTCAAGATGCACCTAAAAATATACATAATCTAGCCCTAACCGGTTTGTCTCAGTGGATAGAGTGTCGGCATGCGAAATAAAGGGTCCCAGGTTCGATTCCGGTCAAGGGCATGTACCTTGGTTGCGGATATATCCCCACTGGGGGGCATGCAGGAGGCAGCTGATCGATGTTTCTAACTCTCTATCCCTCTCCCTTCTTCTCTGTAAAAGATCAATAAAATATATTAAAAAATATATACATAATCTAAGCTTTATTTTTTTTCCATTAGAAATCCAGGCAGTAGTGCCTTACAGGAGGATGTGTGAATGGAGATACGAACCTTGTGCCACTCCCTGTTTTAGAACGTGTAGTGATCCTGAAGCACTGGCATGTAAATTTCTTCCACCGTAAGTCACGTTTAAACATTCAATAAACTTCTTTTATTTTATACAAGTGATCGTAATTAAGGGTTGGCTATGTGCCAGGAATTCTAGCTGCGACCGATACAGCAGTGAACAAAATATATGAAGTGTCTATCCTTATGTAGCTTCAATTTTGTTGGGGTAAGGCAGAGATTAAACAAATAAAATGTAAATATATAATGCAATATATTATTAGGTGGCAATATGTGTTATGGAAAAAAATGAAGGTAAGGGATACTGGGAGCATAAGGCATGTGTGTATTTAACACGTGGTCAGGGAAGAACACACTCACAGGGTGGCATCTGCTCGGAGATCTGAAGCAAGAGGGGCCTGGCCCTGTGGATACCTGGGGAAAGACCCTTTCCATATGAGAGCAGTACAAAGGTCCTGTACTAGGCATGTTTGAGGGTTAATAAGGGGCCAGGCTTGTTGGAGCAAAGCGAATGAGAGTGAGAGAGGAAGGAAATGAGAGCAGAGACTCATAGTGGTGGACAAGTAATTTAGGACCTTATAGCCTGTTGTGAGGACGTTGTCTTTTTTACTGAGTAATGTCCTGCTGTATTTTGGGCAGAGGAGTGACATGATCTGACTTATTTATTTTATTTTTTCTTTTATTATTATTTTTAATAAATATATTGTTAATTAATTTATAAATATATTTTTATTGATTTCAGAGAGGAAGGGAGAGGGAGCGAGAGATAGAAACCTCAGTGATGAGAGAGAATCATTGATCGGCTGCCTCCTGCACATTTCTTCTTACTGGGGATCTTGTTTGAAACCCAGGCATGTGCCCTTGACCAGAATCGAACCTGGGACCCTTCAGTCCACAGGCCAATGCTCTATCCACTGAGCAAAACTGGCTAGGGCTTATTTTATTTTTCCATCACCATTTATCCCTTCTATGCCCCCTTCCACCTCCACCTTCTCCCCTGTCCCCTGCAATCACTACACTCCTGCCCATGTCCATGACTCACAGAAAGTTTACTTAGGCTGTTATAGTGAGAATAGACTATTGGGCAAAGGGAAAGACAAGAGCAGAACTGATCAGTAATATAAACAAGACATGAAAGGAAGTTGATTGGTAGTCCTGGAGGTTCTGAGAAGTGGACAGATTCTGAATATATTTTGAATTTAGAGTTACAGAGTTTGCTGATGGATTTGATGTCAATTATGAGAGAAAAAGGAGTTAAGGACTGAAGTTTTGGTCTCAGCAATTTTTAGGTGGAACAATATGAAACTGTCATTTTTGTAATTATAACTGGTCAAATATCAGCAAATTTGAATGATTCAATTTAATGGAAGGGCTGAATGCCATTTACTGAAGTAAGGCAATGTGAGGAAGAGCAGCGTGGGAGAAAAGTCAGGAATTTGGTTCTGAGGATTTAATTTAATTAAAAATATATTTTGATTGATTTCAGAGAGGAAGGGAGAGAGAGATAGAAACTTCAATGATGAGAGAGAATCACTGATAAGCCGCCTCCTGCACACAACCTGGGCATATGACCTGACCTGGAAATGAACCATGACCTCCTGGTTCATAGGTCGATGCTCAACCACTGAGCCATGCCGGCTGGGCTGGTTCTGGGGATTTTAAAATTGAGACTGAAAATTGTTCATTGGATTGGGCAACCTGGAGAATAGGAAGAGGCAAAATGGAGACAGAGTGCCAATGGTTTTTGTGTTTGTTTTTAAGATTTTTGCTATAAGGAGGACAGAGAGATGTTGCAATGGTGGGAGGGAATGTTTTTGAAAGAATCAGTTTACTTACATTAGACATTAATGGGCTTTTATTCTGTGACAAACATTGGCACTAGAAGAGTTCCTGCACGTAATGCCTGAGACAGAGCCGCTCTTTAAAGGAGCCCAGCCTTTTGGAAGGAGCGAATCATGAAAGGGGGCTGGGAGAATGACAACAACTGGCGCATTAGAGTGCTGACAGCATAACGCACTGTGCTAAATGCTGTAAACGGGTAATCTCATTATTCCCATTTCAGAGGGGAAAACCAACTGAGACAAACAAGCTGAACAATGTGCCCAGTCTAGGTCACATTTTGTAGGTAGTGGAGCCAGGGTTTCAACCACGACACCCTGTTGGGTATCTAGGGTTAAGTGGGGCAGAGAGAAGAAAATGATATATTTTTTTGCTTATTTTCTTAAAGCAACAACAACAACAACAACAAAACACACACCAAAATAAAATCATGCCAAACAAATTTTTCTGAAAAGGAGATGTCTTCAATCACTGGGACCCCTCACATTAACAGACCTATTTCCTTGTAGCTACTAGGGCTTTGAGAAAAACAGGGGTCTCATAGTGAGGAGTGCACTTGGAGAAGGAAAGAAGGAAGGGAAGAAAGGAGGAAGGGAGGAAGGGAGGAAGGGAGGAACCATAGAAGGAAGACATGGAGGGAACACAGGGCAGGGCCGGCCCTGCACTGGGGAGGAAATGGAGCTATATTTTGAAGTGGCATTTGGCTAGTGTCTTACTTCTTATGCCACATAAGCCATCTCTGAGGTGTTTGAACCCAGATCCTCAATGCTCCCATTGTTTGGTCGATAGCTACCCCAGAATTTCTCTTTTGGTATGTTTAGGATGCAGAGAGGAGACTCAGAATGAACCTTCACCCCTGCTGAGCTGTCTCTCATTTCTGCCTTCTTCTCTATCTCTACCTCTCCCCCTTCCCATGCTGAGGAGCCAAATTATTGCTCCTCCTAGTACTCTAAGTCCTGAGGGGAGACCCAAGTACTGAGCTGGGCTTCAACGTGGTGTTGTACCCCTCCTCCAAGTCTCCAACAGAATCACCACCTTTGTTCTTGATAATTGCAATTTCTGGCACATATCAAGTGTTAAAAATATCCAGTGGAGGTTATAACTTTTATGAGATAAGATACCAACTAGCATACCATAGAGACCATATGTAAATATAGTTATTCCTATTATGTAATACGAGAGGCCCGGTGCACAAAAATTCATGCACTCAGGGGGTCCCTCAGTCCGGCCTATGCCCTCTTGTAGTCTGGGACCCCT